TTTTTACATGAGTGTTTGCAGTTTTTGCAAGAATTTAATAATTATTACACTGTTTTATTTCAGTTGAAAAATCAGACCAGTCTAGTCCTGGTCTTTTACATTCCCCCTCAGAACAGAATGGTCACTTGTCATCTGACCCGTGTGATGTTCATCCAGATTCTGTTTCTCAGGTTATCCAAGAAATAAAAAAAGCCATTCATCATAGCAAAAATATTCACCTAAAATCATCACCAACAGACAAATTGGATTCAGGGCAGCCTGTTTGGGTTCCTAGGTAAGTGCAACATTAATATATCTCTGCATTTGTAAATATTAGAGCTTATTTGACAAATTTTATGACTTTAAATGCTCATAAACTTTTTTTTTTAAATGCAAGTATTAGTCTTGGAAAAACAAATTCAAAAATCAATAAGCAAACACTTTTTGAGTATGGCAGGATATCTTTGTCACCAATTACTTGTAGAAAGTTTGTGTAATATGTTATTAGGTTTTAATTAAATTGGTGTGAGATTGGTTAATCCTCAACTAGCTGACTTGTCTGTTCACTACTAGTATAGTACACATATGTTGCATTATATTAAATGAGTGTGCGTGGACTTGATCCATTGAACTGACCCTGTATCGATTGACAACATCAGTCTGAATTATAAGATGATGTTCTTGTGAAGAATACTTTTGTTTATTATACATTTGTGTATTACAAAACCTTTAGAATCTCCAAAATGCACAAATATTTCATTTATTACAACCTGATGATGGCTCTACTGGTGAAATTGTAACAAATAAGTATTTGTGAAACACACAAGTGTCTTTCTTTTCCTCAATTCTGTGAATAATATTAAGTTTATTGTATTCAAACAACTCACAAAAATAAAAGTACTTAATAGTTATTCAAAAGTAACTGTATTTATTAGATATGAATGGATCTAGACCAAGTATAATATTAGCAAAAATCAAATCTAGTCTGACAAAGGTAATGATGGCGTTTTGAAAGGTTGCCAATAAATCTGTCAGTTTTTGCCATGTGTATGTTGTTCATGATTATAAGTGATGAATGCTGCAACAAACAAAATACAATATTAAAAGGAATATGTAAATGAATATCAATTAAGTTAAAACTGATATAAAATTGAAATTCTCGATCAACAATAAAAAAAATTGAAATTCTAAGATGAATGGAAATAGTATAAATATTTTTTTCAAAACTGTTTCAACAAAATTTTGGAAATTCCACAATTTGAAGAATGCTAGAAAATGTAAATCAAATTGAATAATTTCTATTTTAGTTGAAACCAGATACTATTTAGTAAGTTTTAACCTAGATCCATGCAATGTAGTTGAGTATTTCCCTTGTGAGAAGGAAAAAATTCAAGGAATGTCAATGAGTCCTTCTTCACCCCAGTGCAGAAAGAGTTAAGTAAAATGAGGAATAGAAATAGTTGTCTACTGTGTATTTAATAGGCAAAACTGGAAACTAGTTTTTAAAATCTTAGTGGTAGCTTTGATAATGTGTATTGCTGGAGATTCTTGGAAAAAATAGTCAACAAACTTTTAGGCAGAAAACATTAAGGATTTTTTTTTTTCATTTAAATTATTTAAATTAAAATTGAATATATATATGTAATTTAATTTTAGATGGGATTTATTGGAGAAACTTCTAACTTGTTTTCACTGTTGAAAAAATATTTGGTTGGCTTGGAGTTTTTTTAACCAGGTGTTTATGTATCTAAATTTTCTTGTCAAAGAAAAAAACAAAAACAATATTTCTCTAAACATGAAAGTTCATTTATAAAATGGCTTATAATTATGGTATTCCCTACAGTGCTGAAATTTCATTCACCATCTAATCTAGGGGAAGATAGTCATAGCATTCTGTATGATCAAAAAATGTTTTTGAGTTTTTATTTTGTCATTGTACTGTAGAAGATTAGCAAAACAGTTGTAGTAAAAGACATGTTTATTTTGTTTTCCCTTTATGGCCCAAATTAATAAAGAACCACAAAATCATCATAATATGAGATCTAGTAATCTTGGTCATGGAATAGGTAAAAATGAAAATGGTCTCATTAGTTTTGAACAGATTCATAATCAACCAATAACATAAGATTTTATGATGATATAAGTTTAATACTGGAAAAAAAACAACTTTTGTTTAGGAACATTGTTTTGTGCTAATTTACTTTGCTTTGTTCACGTCATTATTTTATTAAATTTTATTTTTAACTCTTTCAGGTAGTTTTGGCTTCAAATACTTTGAAGTAAAATAAGTTTTTTTGTAATTTGGATAACATGCTAGTGCTAGTCAGTCATTAATTATTCATATTTTTGCTTAAAATTGCACTGTCTTAAGAGTCTGTAAATTGAAAGAAGAAAGTATTAGTACAAGGAATGTATACTTTTTAAAGGCTCTCACAGGGAGGACGCTATGGCAAAAGGTATTCAGATTCTGCAAGGGAAGGTGGAAATGAGGAAGGTATGTGATATCAGTTACCCAGTCATAGCTGTTCAAATATTTTCATCATCTGTTCACTTTGTCAAGTGCATGTACTTGATAATAACCTAAATTTAATTTGATTGATATCAAATATGATCAAAAAGTACTTAGATTAAGCACACACATAACTTGCAGTTCGTGATTATGCTAGACTCGGATATATACTCCTTGGATAGAAGTAGAATTTTGTTTTCATGATAATCATTCAACAACCAGTGTTATTTGACTTTACATCTTCACAATTCTAATTTGTATGCAAATAAACATATATTTAACCTTTCATGAAATAAAAATGTTAAAAACAATTAACAATGGAAATTTCTTTTGTTTCTGAATCGCTAGAGATTTCACAGTTATCTGACAACCTTACAATCTGATTTATTTCCTAACTTTTTAAATCAATTTAAGTTGCTTTAATTATTCCATGTCTGGTTGGTAAAGTTTCATTAGGTCAGTAGTTTGGAAGAAATTGTTATAAAAAGGCTATACTGAAAATGTATTATTGTGTTTGTAGAAGAAAAATCCCCCTCTTCCCCCAAAAACATTTAAATGTATTTTTTCTTATAACCATTATCACTGTCTAAAATGGAAACAAGTTGTTTATGTTAAAAACATGAGTCTTGTTGAGTGTGTAGTGATTCATCTCAAACTGCTGTCAAACACTTCACACTACTTGTAATTTTCAAGTATTTAAACACAGTAAAGTACTTATTAAATTAATTTAAACATTTTCAACACTTGGCAATGGTTTTCTAGACACTGGCTCTGCACTACCTTTAAATAGCTAACAGGGCTTAAAGTTAAAAATATGAACAACATTTGAAATGCACAATAAAAAATTTGTATTTGGCTGATGGCCAAAATTAATTCTTTCAACCTATGACAAAAGCCCCACCCATCTGTATTTAAGTTTCAAAACAGTTTGCAAAACCATGTGCTCCTATTTGATGTACATGTTTATAACCAATAGCAAGAGTTTATTTTAAAATTAATTTTCTTTAATGGTTTTTTGAAATTGGCACCAATAGACATTAGACATAAAAGGATTTGATTCAGTGCTTATCAGTAAGCTAGTTGACACTCAACATTTAATGTTTTTATTTTTGTTTATCTGAAATAACTTAGTTATAAAACTAGTTAAATTACATTTTATTGGGACATTCTGTTTTAGTTATGGGTGAAAAGAGACAGGTATGACTTGTACGCTTCAGTTAGCCAAAAGTCCTAAGTTCAATCCCCAGTTTTGGAGGTTTTTTTTTCACTTAGTGGCTTTTTCACTTACAATAATGTTTATTAGAAAGTCTGCTTTCATTTATTTATAATATTTATTAATTAAAAATTTCAACTATTTAAGTAATTGAAACACTGCATTATAACTTTTCATTATTATCATTTGATTAATTCAAGTTTATTTAGCTTTAGTATGTTATGGCCTTGTGATTGGGGTGAGGTGTATTTTGTTATGTTTCTAACTTATATTTGTATAACTGTGTTCTTTAATGTTGAATAAGGTTTAAATTCTGTTTTTACATTATACTTTATAATTTGTGCAAATTCCATTAATTGCCTAGATCTAACTAAGTGGAAGTGCCAAAGTTTACTTGATATACTAGTTTACCTTTTATGGTAAAGTTGTGTAAATCCTACTGATACTTCATAAGTTATAATTAAATATTCTTTATTATAGTATTTGACTTCTGTATATGTGCTCGTAGTTAGATCAGTACAAAATAATTTCATTCTTTGCCTAAGTTTCTGCCCCTTTCATCTTTAAAAATAACGAGTTTCATGTCATTACTTTTTTAATAATAATCTAGCATACTTTCAGAAGAGTGCGACACTGATCAAGAAACAGACAGACTTCTGGGTTCACAACGATCTGAAGATAAAGAATATTCTGGTGATAAAGTAAGTTTTTGTTAATTTTGACACAACTTTTTTAACTTCTGACAGTGTTGGTGTACTTGTACTCGTACCTAATGCTATTTTCTAGTCTGCCGTATCCTACAAAGCTTTTCATTGAAAATTAACAGTCTGTACCATGTACTTGAGAATATCAATTTGTTGACAACCAAGATCAAAACCAGCCATAGGACAAATTTTGATATATTTATATGCACAGCATCTGTTGTTTTTTTTCTATCCTAATCCACATCAGTTTGTAATAATGCCAGTATGTTAATAAGAACCAATTTCCATAAAATTTAAACCTAAATGAATGAGTTAGGAATAAATACAAAGCTCATTCTACATTGCAATTTTAAAATACATATTTCAATATCATGAATTACACCTGCAGCCATCTGGTTTTGAAAGTTATATTTGTATAATACTGAGATTAATCACAGTTAGTAAGAATGCCATTTCAGGGTCTCTGTCTTCCTTGGAACTATTTCCTCTGTCATTAGTTGTACTCACTTTGATATCCATGATTATATACTTTTATCCAACACACTAGTTTCTACTGAGACAAGCTTTTGTGGTGAATGGTGAGGTAAATCTTACAACATGTACCTTATAAACCTTTCCAGAAAACCTTCCATTGTAGGTGAAGGTTGGCTTCCAAGACCACACTTACCGTATTTTTCGGAATATAAGACGCACCGGTGTATAAGACACACCCTTATTTTGAAGACAAAGTTTTGAAGGAGAAAAAGCTACAGTCGCATTTGAAATATTTTTATTGAACAAAAATTCAATTTGAT